CGTTCACATGGGGTTACTCGTTCAACTAGCAGATGGCCCTGAAGTTGAGGGTGGGTTTTCCAAAAAAAAAAAACTGACATTTTCGTATATTAATGCTATTCACGCGAGAAAAAGACATCGAAACTGTGTCGCCCCAATGCTCTGGACTATAGGACATGTGCTCCACGCAACGCGACAACGTTCCACCTCGGGGTGGACTACCCCTAACTCTGGGGCCACCCCCTTCAGCTTCGGGGGCAGTTTTCGGAACGGGATCTTTCCGGCATTCATCCTTAACGTATCGAGAACAAACATGGTGAATTTCATCGCCCTCCGATGTGTGGAAGGTGCTCCCTTACAAAGGAGGTTGAAAACTTGCGAGCTGTTCCAGCCCCTAAGGGGTGCCTATATGGGGTGCACAATGTGGGAGATGGCATTTTCGGGATCAGGGGAGTCCAGAGAATGCATTCAGTCCAAAATCGAGACCGTCGTCCAAAAATTGTGGGTTTTAAAGGAGGTGGGGTGTTGTGAGGGGTGGGTTTGTCCGAGAGGGATTTCAAGGAGTGCATTTTGTAGAGCGCATCAACGAGAGTCGTCCTTAAGCTTTTTTTAATTTTTCCAACCTCTTCCGACACCTTTGGCACTTTAGAAGTGACGATTTTGGACGCCCCCCTCTTAAAGGGGCGAATTAACCCTTTAAAGCCCTTCACATCAACGCTCGCTAATGCAACTTTGCACACGCCCAGAAGACACTTGAAGACTATTCTTCACCAAGTTTCACCGAAATCGGTTGAAAACTCTCATAATTATGAACATTTAAAAAAGTGTTCCGCTAATTTTGTCCAGTAGTTTATATTTAATTTAAGAACAACAATTGAAGAGGTGCCGAACATATTTTCGCGATGCTTATGGACGATAGTAGAAATAATGTATTTGTTTCCAAGTGTCTCGTAGATGTTTCCACGGATCAGATACTGATTTTGGTAAGGTTTTTCGTTGTATTGTACAGATTTATATCATTCTGCAGTTGTTCAGTTAAATTCAGATCGTGAGATTGTGTAACTAATAAGTCATTTGAAATATTTACAGACAAGTATATGTTGATACATTTACTTACGTTTATAATTTATTCAAATATACTAAACTATAAAACAATATTTTTATATATCATCTAAATAATTTCATCATTTCTAAGAATACCTCCAAATGAACAAATTGAAGCACAAATAAATCGAGTAAAATTATCTTTTAGCATTATTTTAATCTTGTTCTGTATACACATGAAAGTGTCGCCAATCCACAGCAGTGCTTTTCTTCTAGAAAACGATTTCTTTGAAGAACCCATCTGTCCTAATACTTGTAGTTGTAGGTGTACTTGCGTACCGACGCGTACGCGCAAAAGGGGACGAACAGTGAACGTGCAATCTATTAGAGCGCTTCCCCGCGTTCATGCTTTTCTTTCCCCCCTCCCCCTTCCTTCCGCTTTCTGGTAGGCGTCATCGCAGTACGGTGATAACGGTGATGAGAACGATAGCAGGGACCGGCGTCTCTGTAATTACGCGCTAACGTAACACGCCACGCGTCGCCATGATGCCGATGTTTCTTTCACCCTGGGATGCGATTGTCGGGGCTCTAGACGCAGAAGGGAAACAGGTGAGTGAGGTCTTCTGGAGATTGTCGAGCACCAGCTCAAGATTATGTCGAGTTGAGCAGGAAATTTCGGTCACTGAGCTTTTTTATCTGTCAGTGATGTCGATGAACTAGTTGGAGAGAAAATACCACAGGGAAACTGATATGAACATACATCAACCTGCTATAGTATATGAGAAAGGTAATTAAGCTTGAATGGTATCTGTTTTTTTATTTAAACATCTCAAATTGCAAGTAAGGCTGTGTACTATAGATACGCTAAATGATACTAAAGAAATTCTATCTCCAGAGGAATTCTGTCTCCATATCTACATAGGTTATAAAATATCCTTGGTCTATGTGATATATCGATATGATGGTCTAATACTTTCATACGAATGAAAATTTACAAATAAATTGCAGTGGACTGGTATTGGTATATAAGGAGTTTCAGCTAACGGTGAAATATTGAATAACATTGCACACATTTCTGTAAATAAACTGTTCAAAATCTATCTTATTGTTTAGTTCACCACTCTCACGCAACCCTGTAACTTGGAATATAATTTGAATTTTAAACGATAGGAGTAACAACAACTTGTAAGTTCTCATTCGAAAATGCCAAGTTAGCGGATAATCTGAATAAGCTCAGGATGATAATATACAGGGTGTTAAAAAAAAAGCATTCAATATTTATATTGTGTATAGGGCACACTATACTGAGTAAAAAAGCTTTAGTAAACATAGGTCCAAAGGTCAACCGTTTTTGAGATATAAACATTTTTGTTTGCTAGTATCATGATTGACTTACATGCTTCAATCGCATGCGATGTTTATGTCAGTGTTTATAAATTGCGTTCTGAATGTTCCCATTTAAGTGCCGACAACTTCGTCAATTTCATTTTTTCAATTTCGTGTACAGAAATGAGCGGTGGACACGTGGAAAATCTTCTATAAATATCGAAAACCCAGTAATAAGTCAATCGTGATACTAGCAAACAAAAATGCTTATATCTCAAAAACGGTTGACCTTTGGACCTATGTTTACTAAAGCTTTTTTACTCAGTACAGTGTGCCCTATACACAATATAAATATTGAATGCTTTCTTTTTGAACACTCTGTATGTATATTTAGGTAGGTATACTCAGGAATGAGGAAATTTTAAATTCATTTCTGGGTGGAATAATTAAAATAGATTATCAGAATTTATAGAGTTCATTAAGTAAAATCGCGTTCAAAATTTTATTGAGAGGTGCTGGAACAGTGACCGAATTTTCATCTCCATAATTTGAAATATTAAAAATAACAAGAAAGATAACGAATTGCGAATGTACATAACTATTCTCATAACTCAGTAGTTCACGTCATTTCGATGTTAATGTATATAATAATTGAAAAGAATCTTGAAAATCAAGCTGTACATTGAAATATATGATGAAAACAAAACATCAAATTATCTGATTGTACCGCCCTAATTACTTTTGAATCTGCCAACTTTAAACTAGTCCGATACACATAAAAAACAATCAGTTACTCCCTAAAATCACATCAATCGATTTGAATATAATTCTAGCGTTATCTTCCAAACTTTTAAAAGAAAAAAAGTAGTAATTTCTAGCCGAATCGAAGAGCCAAATGAAGCTACTAGCTCCATCTGTGGACCCAATTGGTAACCTCGCATCAACGTCGCGCAGGGCCACGTGAAAGCTTAATCTACGTTCGAAAGCACGTGCTAGAACGAAATAAAGTAGAGAAGATTTCAAACTTTCTTCACGATACTCTTTGTTAAAACGCCACCATGTCTCTATGTTTGTTTCTCATTGTAGCTGACTTTCGTAAAACGGAGACCCCATCGCGAGCTTTTGTTTCATAAATTTACTATTTTTCTCAAGCTGAGAAAAATCAAAGGCTTCTGACACTATCTATCTTTCACCAACCGCTAACCCTTGCGATCTCATCTTCATTCGCCAGGTTACCTCGTTCAACGGCCACGAATTTAGGTCATCCCAGTCCTCCTAAGAAAAAGCAAAAAAGCTCCAAGTTTTGCATCGCCTTTCCATGAAATATCCTTTTTTCAATGGCTCGAAGGAAGGTGTACAGCTGAGCCGAGGTAGTACGCGAAACCGCAAGCTTTCCAGCCGGCCGGCGCGGCTCTGTAAAAAGTTACCCGTTTCGAAGCTTCCAACTCTGACGCGCTTTGCAACCGTCGAACATGCATCGAGCAGAATGCGTTTCAAGCGGCGGCAATGCGAAGTTTAAAAAAAATAAAAGAAAACGCTCCTGGTGAAACGAGAAAGGCAAACGGGTTAAATTCATCACCCGTCTTGGAGGCTGAAAGCTCGTCTGATATTTTCTCCAAAGGAAGCCTAGGAAACTGCATCCTCTCTGTAGCGCAGGAACATCAGCGTGAAAGTCGACGCGACTGGCCGGAAAAAAACGCTATCCTTTGAATGATATTCGCGACTCCGAGTGAACCAAGACGTCACAGGAAGTGTTTCAACGCATGAAACGCGGCAAGTTTTATCCGTGAATCACCGACGTACACGGGTTAACCGCGTGAATGCGCGTTATTCTTACACGTGTTGCTGGGAAGCACGTAGTCGAGAACGTTCCTGCGCGGCCGGTTGCGCGCGCATTCCGATTCAATCCGATAAGGTGACTCGCCGCATGAAAGTCATCGTGACTAATTAGCGTAATGACGATCGGTGAAGAGCCGCCGTGGCGTCGGGCACAGAAATTATTGAAAGCTTCCGCTAAATCGCGCGCCACCGCTGCGTTGCTTATTGTCGGCTCGTCAGCCATCCGACCTCGACGCTCGAGCTGCGCTCAGAATCGCGCGAAATTGTGAACACCGGGAAAATTCATTTGTAAACAAGCGCCTTGAGCACTGATATGCAATGTTTCACGCGATTCGATCCCGTGGAAATGGTTCTGCGACACAGATTTTCGTTATTTCGACACAGGCGTTGATGATGTCTATTACATTGCTAACGTTCGTCGATGATAATTACGTGAGAGAAGACTAGACTCCCGATGAGCGATTTTTAGAATTTTATGGAGTCTACTGACTGAAAGGCGTTACAATTATTAATGAACAATTTTGTTAAGTTTATGAGTATGTACGTAAAGGGAAAGATTAATGATTTGTGTTCGATGACACTTTCCTTAGGGCAAACTAAAGACTCCAGACAATTGTGCGAGTATTTGAAGAATTTCTTACAGCTAACATAAAATAATTTTAAACAGAAACTATTCGATGAAAAAATGATACCATTAAATCTTAAAGAACGAAAGAACGTTTCTATTAATATTAAGTTCTGTAATTTTTATACATGTAAGTATGTAATTTAACCTTGTAACATTAAGTAATATGATATATCTTAGATTGTATTTCACGCCTCTTTCTTGAGATCATAATTGTAGTACCTCTCATTGTCCTCAGTGTCGCCACAAATTTTAAAGCTTAGGGAAAAATTGTTTCCCTATACTCCGCAGTCTCGTACGTCGTTCGCGCGTCCGCGACCAACTTCATTCTTTCGCTTTGTGTCAGTGTCTTCACACGTAGACTGAGTAACGAATTACAGAATATTATATTATGGGTCGAAAAGATAGGAAGAGGACGTCGTCGATGGATGAGGATAAGGAAAATGACAGACTCTATCGAAAAATTTGTAGACTAGAGGAGAAATTGCATCGAAGGAAGGATGATCAGCGTATGTTGGGAGGTAACCCCACTTCTTTGGTCCGTGGGATAAGAGACGCTTCGAAACAGAATTTTGTAAATTCTTGTTTCGAGTACTATATCGACATCCGTCGATTCTGCCAGCGGCTGTGTCGTTGTGCAGAGTGCTTTGGCTCTTACCAAACGCACATCTTTCGTGTGACGAAAGAAAACAGTACATAAATTTAGGACAGCCGGGGTTTGTAACCTTTAAACGCGTCTTGGAGACGTGTGTGACTTGTTTCATAAGACTTCACTTTGTGGATACAAAATGGAATAGACAGGTTATTGGAACTCGATTCGATGGTTTTCAGGTAAAAGTTCGGGGTCACGTAGTCGCTCACGCCATCGCCATAGTTCGAGACACTCGCTGGATCGTGAGATACCTCGGTCAGTATCTCGAGGACGCTCATCAGGAGGTCGACGCTCATCGAGTTATTCGAGAGATAATTTCGATTTTAGAGTTTTTGGTAGATCACGCTCTAGTTCTCGATACACATCGAGACAGTCGTCTGTTTCTCGGTCAACAAAATCGAGTCAATCATCGTGTATCTGTGAGATACCGGTTTCGAGGACCGAGAAGGACAGCGAGATTAAAGAATCTCGCGGCGGTCGAGACGGCAGAAGTTCCCGAACATGAAGTAGTGTTATAAGAGGAAATTTTGAACGTGTTTTAGATAAGAAAACCGCCGCTGCGGTGCATAAGGACGTAGCTCTCCGGTGGTCGGAGGTTTTGAAAAAAAGTCTGCCAGAAAAGGAGGTCAAGGCTCTGTTGGGGAAATACCCACCGCCAGAAAATTGCTCTTTTATCGGGGTATCGAAACTAAACGCAATAATTATGGTTTCAGTACAAGAAGGCGTTATTAAAAGAGATCATCGTATTATTGAGAAGCAAGAACGCATCGCCGCATGTCTAGCAGCGTTGGGTAAAGCGATCTCGATATCATTGAAGATGGACAGTTCTCAGAAACTTGAGTTGCTGGAAAAATTAAGCGATATGGGGAGACTTCTCGCATCGGTGCACCGAGAGGATTCTCTGGCTCGTAAAGGGCTTATTCTAGTGAGTTTGAATTCGTCCTTGAAGAACACTCTCTCCGATACTTCGGTCGATGAGTGATTTTTTGGTACGGATTTAGAAGAAAAAATAAAGACGGCTAAGAATTTGAAACGAACATCAACCGACGTTCGAAAAATATCTAACGACGTCGAACGGGCGTCATCATGCAGCATCCAACAAGACGGAGACAAAGAAGTCTGCATACCGCAAAGGATCGATTCATCAATACAGGGGACGTCGTTAATCTCATCGGAAGATGTAGCTAAACCAGCAGGGAGGTTAATATTATATGGTAATGCTAGGTAAAAGGTAACCAAGGTCTCGATGATCCATAAATGGGTTCAGGGTATTGTGATACCCTTCACGTCGTATCCGAGACAAGACCAGCCTCCGGTCGAACCCACATGGTCCGAACACGAACATGGTTTAATCGAAAAACAAATTAATAAATTAATCTCTAAAGACGTTATCGAGAAATGCTCTACGTCAAAAGGACAATTTTTGTCGAATATATTTTTAATTTCTAAGCCGGATAGTACATTCAGAATGATACTAAATCTTAAGGGGCTTAACGAGTTCATTCACGTTGGGCATTTTAAAATCGAAAACTGGAAGGTAGCAAAGAAATTAAATTGTCGCAATAGTTTTATGCCAACGATAGACTTAAAGGAGGCCTCCTATTTGGTTCCAATCGAAAAGAAGTTCAGAAAATTTTACGGTTCTGGTATAAGGGAGAACTATTTAAGTTCACCTGTTTACCGTTCGGCTTAAATGTAGCACCGTATGTTTTCACAAAATTATTGAAGCCGGTGGTAGCATACCTGAGAAAAAGGGGATTTACGTCTGTATTTTATCTCGATGACATCCTTATTATCGATTAATCGTGCGAGAATGTTTTGACAATGTTCGCGAATCTGTAACACTTTTGCAGGACTTGGGATTTATAATTAATAAGGAAAAAAGTCGCGCGATTCCCACGCAACGGTGTAAATATTTGGGACTAATTTTTGATTCGGTAAAAATGTCCATAGAATTACCTAAGGACAAAGTTCTACGAACCGTCGAACTCACTCGGAAGTTCAGTACAACTACCCGGTGCAGTATAAGAGAATTCGCGGTTTTCGTAGGGACTTTAGTTTCGCGTTGTCCGGCGTTGAAATATGAGATGGTGTATATAAGACGGTTCGAAAAGGTACGAGCTAGCGCACTTGAAATTAATAATAATAATTTTAACGAACAAAGGTTTATTCCAAGAGAGTTAAACGAGGATTTTACGCGGCGGGAAGATAATATCCGCTCCACGAGTGCGCCAATAGATGAACCAGAATTCGAATTCGAAATATTTTCGGATCCTTCACGTACAGGGTGGGGCGTTTTCTGTAAAAACCGACGTTGTCAGGGGTTTTGGAATACAGGTGATTGAAAATTACACATAAATGTGTTGAAACTTAAAGCGGCGTTTTTTGGATTAAAATGCTTCGCGAAGGACGTACGACGAAGTAGTATTTTGTTAAGGATAGACAATACGGCGGCAATCGCATACATAAATAAAATGAAAGATAATCGTCATGAGGATCTTAGTGCACTGGCCAGGGAAATTTGGCAATGGTGCGAACGAAGAGAAATTTGGATTTCGGCAGCGTACATACGTTCTAGTGAAAACGTCGAAGCCGATTACGAGTCACGGAGATTACAACCAAAAACTGAATTTGAGTTATCCAAAAGTGCATTTTAAAAGATCGTTAGATATTTTGGCATCCCACAAGTAGATTTGTTTGCAAGTAGAGTGAACGCGAAATGTAAACGTTATGTATCTTGGCAGAGGGATCCAGACTCGATCGGCATAGACGCTTTCACGTTAGGCTGGAAAAAATGGTTCTTTTATGCGTTCCCTCCCTTTTCAGTAATTTTAAGAATGTTGAGGCAAATAGAACGTGAAGAATCAATGGGCATAGTAGTGGTACCATACTGGGAAGCCCAGCCTCGGTTCCCTGTTTTTCTATCATTATTAGAGGAAGAACCGATTATTTTCCAGCCCAATATTAATTTAATTTGTTCTTCCGGCAGGGAGGAACATCCCTTGTGGCAACGGCTTACACTAATTGCCGCCAAATTATCGGGGAAGCGTTCATTAGGAGAAAGGTACCACTGGAAACGGTCAAGATATTGACAGCCTCATTATCAGAATCTTCGCTTCGCTAATAAGAATCTTGAAGAAATTGACCCGTTTACAGGTTCCACAAGTGAGGTGTTGAAGTTTCTCACAGTGGAATTGGACAAAGGAGCCTCGCATAGCTCGTTAAATGGTTACAGATCGGCAATATTTTTAATATTGAGACCTCATTTAGGCCAAAATGAGTATATTCAACGTTTTTTCAAAGGAGTCGCAAAATTAAGGCCAGCATCACCGACTCCCAGGTATGACTCGACCTGGGACCCCCGAATTGTGTTAAAATATTTATCGAAGTGGTATCCCAACGATAAGATTAGCTTAGAACGACTAACGCTCAAGCTCGTGACATTGTTGACTTTAGTTACGGAGCACCGTATGCAAATTCTGTCGTTAATTGATACGCAAAATATTTATAGATCAAGTCAGAATACGTTGGAAATTAAAATTCCCGATACCATTAAGACTTCGGGCCCGCGAAAGAAAAGAAAAGAAAAGAAAAGAAAAGAAAAAAAAGCAGCCAGTACTAAGACTTCCGTTCTATTTACAAGATAAGTCCGTATGCGCAGCTTCAACGATTTTTTCCTATTTAGACAGAACCAAAGAACTACGTAGATCGGTAGTTAAATTATTTATATCATTTAAGAAACCACACAAAGTGGTGGACACTCAAACTCTAAGCAGGTGGATAAAGAGCCTTTTGGCTAAAAGTGGCATAAATGTTAACACGTTTTTGGTTTATAGCACGCGACACGCTGCTACATCAGTGGCAAAAAGACAAGGTGTGAACATTGATGTAATACGGGAAACGGCAGGTTGGTCGAAAGATTCCGAAACTTTCGCTCGTTTTTATGATTGGTTGCGTTTCTTCAGAAACTGGACGATTTGCAGAGACGGTGTCAGAATGTTAAGTCCTTTTACGAAAGGCAATTATTTTTAAAAGAATAGCATTGTATCTCGTTTCGAAAGTTCCTGGTTTGTTAAAAAAAAAAAAAAAAGAATTGGTAAAACACACATAAATATATGTTAGGGTGTCAATTTGTTGCCGTAACTAACTTAACAACTACAATTATGATCTCAAGGAAGAGGCGCGAAATACAGTTAATGATTAAACGAACTTACCAAGTGAAGTTCAATCATGATTGTATGATGCGCCTCTTCCAAAGAGATCAGTCCCTCCCTCCCATGCATCTCGAGGGAGATACCCGTAATAATGGTTACGGCAAGGCTTTCAAGAATGAAGTTGGTCGCGGACGCGCGAACGACGTACGAGACTGCGGAGTATAGGAAACAATTTTTCCCTAAGCTTTAAAATTTGTGGCAACACTGAGGACAATGAGAGGTACTACAATTATGATCTCTTCGGAAGAGGAGCATCATACAATCATGATTGAACTTCACTTGGTAAGTTCGTTTAATCATTAATTATGTAGTATCCAATTATCGCAAAACAAAATTTTAGTTACATAAAAATGTTTAAAAAATTTAGTTGAGTAGCTACTGTGTTAAGTGCTTATTATGGAAGCAGTGTTAACTACTGCAATATTCACTCAGAAAATATGTTCACCACATTGAAACACTCTTTAGATTCATAAGGAAATTAAACAATCCTCTTCTTTCTCACTTTCATATACTCGTAAACATGTAGGAACGTAAAGGTGTTACTGTCAACTCCAGTAATTTAGTATGAAAATCCAGTAATAACCAAAAGAAACGTATTGTTAGTACGTTTTTCTCACGAGAAAAGTTTTTACCATAATCCATGTATGTTGGTATATACATATGCATGGAAGCCGGAAAATGGAAGACCCCACACGCCTTTCACACTATTTATAATTTTCACACATTAAAACCTGCCTTTCCACCAAATCATTCAAAATTTTTGTTCACAAATACTAGGGGGACCAGAAAGTAATGTCGTTTCTGCGAATGTTAATACTTGTTTATCATATATCAGCTCATTCTATACCAGTTGATTTTTATCGATCAGATATTGAAAATTTGCACACTAGATAACAAAAGGTTGTTGATAACGAGGGCGGTTACATAATTGATTAAAAATAAAAACGTGTTATAAATTTATTTGTTTGAATTTAATGTAAAAGATACGACATTACTTTCTGGTCCCCCTAATATAAAAACAATTCATTATCGTTATATCAGCCTCCGTGTAATCTATACGCATATTTGGTATATTAAGTACTATTATAGTATTTTTTAATAAATATGCAACAACCCACAATATATAGTTGAGAATAAATCGATTTCGATTTATATCTCCACACTTCTCCTCTCTACATTCAATGAACCCCTAACACCTCTTGTTTCCTTAATCACCCGAGGTCTCGTTTCCGTCACACGACTTCCAGCAAGACGATCATATAGGTCAATCGCACGGGATTTCGAACGTCGATCATCGTTATGATTTCAACCAT